AGAGCAGCGAAGAGGAGTGGGTGGTTTGAGGCGCGGGGCCAGCTCCTCCCAGAGTCTCCCAGGACTTGATATAAGTGTTAATGTCAGAAAAATATTGCAGCTTTCCTCCTTTCCGTAACCCTCAGCTCCATCTGTTTGGCCGGTGACGGGTAAATGGGAACAGGGTGAGGGTAATGAATCACAGATGGAGACGTCCTGGAGGAGGGGAACCGCCTCTCACACCTGAGTGCCCCAGGACCCTTAGGACCCCCTCGGGGGTCAGCAAGGCCCTCCCCTTAGCACTTTATCCTTTTGGAGCCCCCAATCTTGGGCTGAGTTAAGTGATACGCCCGGCGTAACCCTTTGCTCGCTGGAGGCTTTGGCAAACCTCCATCCTCCATCAGCTGGGGAAGGGCAAGGGTGCAGGGGGGAAGGGTCTATGTGAGCTAGGGACACCTCCAACCCCTTGTACCTCTTCTCCATCTCTGGCAGTCCCACAGCTTCCCCAGAGATGAGGGGTGGGATGGGGTGAGGTCCCAAAGCCCAGCAGGGTTGGTGTCAGCCGGAGAAGGATGTTGCTCGTGACTGTGGGTGAGCGTGGTCTCCTCCCAGGGAGGTTTGGCTTCAGCCTGTCTGGCTCTGGGTTGGTGTTATGTTGTGCCTCAGGGCTTAAAGAGCAAAAGCAGTGGGATGGAGGCACCCAGATATCAAGGAGGGAGGAGTTTTGGGCTCTTCCTCCACCTTGGAACTAGATGATCTTCAAGGTCTTTTCCAATCTGAACCATTCTATGATTCTTTTGTTGGAGTCTCCTTGGAGACATCTCGGATTTGGCAAGAGGCAAAACCGGGCGGCCCTTGCTGACCTGGGGTGAAAGTCACTGGTTCTCAGCTGCTCTCAGAAACTTTGTGTTTCTGCAAGGGTCCAACTCAGAAATGCAATCAGCACCTGTCCCGGCAGCACGAGGTCACACAGAGAGCCAAAGCATCAGGCTGAAGCATCACTGTCTTTGGGTTGAGGGCAGGGGGATGAGGGATCTATGCCCGTGTCAGGCTCCGGCTTCCCACCTGAGACCATGACCTGGCCCAAGTTTCAGCATGAGCTGGAGCTTTGACGACATGCAAAGCCCCAAACCAGATGACTTCTCCTTGCTGCTGGATTCACAGCACACGAGGCTTTCCTTGTCTTTCCTTGTCTTTCCTTGTCTTTCCTTGTCTTTCCTTGTCTTTCCTTGTCTTTCCTTGTCTTTCCTTGTCTTTCCTTGTCTTTCCTTGTCTTTCCTTGCATTTTCCCTCCTGGCTATTTTATTCACAAAACTCACCTCTTTTACACACAGTTCTTGCTGCTCAGAGCTTGTAGAAGAGGAGCTGGATCTCAGCGAACCCAGGTTTGGGCAAGCAGGGACTGGCAGAGATGTTGGAATCTGAGAACCTTATAATCTTAAAAAGGTTTGGATTGGAAGGGACCTTTAAAGATCATCTAGTCCAATGCCTTTGCCATGGACAGGGACATCCTCAACTAGATCAGGTTGCTCAGAGCCACGTCCAACCTGACCTGGGATGTTTCCGGGAATGGGGCATCGACCTCCTCTCTGTGCCAGTGTCTCATTGCTCTCAGCATAAATGATTCCTTCCTTATATCTTGTCTGAATCTCCCTTCCTTTAGTTTAAACCCACCACTTCTCGTCCTATCTGCTTCCATCCCCTTATTGCACCCCCAGGGCTGCAGGCAGTGGGTGGGGATGAAAGGTTGGATCTGGGGGGGACACAGCTCAACAACGGTGGGTGATGCTGATCTTTTCCTACCAGAGGGGTTGGAATGAGATGATCTTGAAGGTTCCTTCCAACCCAAACCGTTCGGTGATATTTTCTCCCTGTTGGGAGGTGGAGGTCGGGTGGACTGGGTGCACAATGCTCTCCCTGACCCCCTGCTCCCTACCCCAGGTCCCGGGCGGAGGATGAAAGCAGCAGGACGCTGCAGCTGGCTGGGCTCCTTGGCAGCCCTGAAGTATGCCGTGGTGGGGCTTTACCTCCTCGTCTTCCTCATCCTCGTTGGAGTCTTCATCCTTGCAGGTAAGGGCTGTGCCCGCGTCCTCCCTCCGCGGCGCAGCAGTGATGCTTCCCCGTGCAAGTGGCTGCCTGTGGGCATGGAACCACGTCTCTGCTACCTCTGCAAAAGTGTTTGGCAGGTTTTTCCATGCCATCCAGGGGAGGAAAATTCCATCTCCTTGGGTACGATGACATAAGCCCATACTGGTTCCACACGTGCGTGTCTGGAGGGGTTTCGATTTCAACTTAGAGACCTGAGTTACCACAGGGTCCAAACATCATGTACTGGGAATGGTGAGGCTCAGGAGCCCCGTGTTCAGGGCTGGAATCATTCCCATCACTGCTGGGTTTGCTCTGACTCCTCTATTTACTTTAGGGGGGAAGGATAAGCCCAAAGCTCCATCAGAGACGGAGATGCAGGCAGCGCCGCTCTCCTCGCAAAGCACATTCCACATGTGCCAGCAAGGCTCCTGCCTCCCCTCTCTGCCTTTTTTTTGCTGAGTGCTGGGATGGGAAAGCTGCTTGTGAAGGCTTGAAATTGCTCCCAACCCCAGCTCATCCCTGCCTACACATCCCATAAGGTGTCTCTGCCAGCTTGTTTTCCCTTCTCTCGTCATGCTGGAAGCAGTTTGAGAAGATGCCTGGTTTAACCCACAGTCTCAGTAACCCCCCTCCCTGCACCCGTACCACCCCTGTACAGGGCTCTGCTAGGGAGGAGAGCCCTGGATGACTGCGAAATGCCACCGCCAAGGACAAGCTCCTCTCCTCCCACCCGTTCCTTCCCAACTTTAACCCTAGCATCCATGGAGGGGGGGGGGTGGATACGCATCTCCCCAATGGGGGGGGGGTGGATACACATCCCCCCACCCTTTCCAGCCCCAAATCTCCAGTAGGGCTGTCCCCATGCCATCCCTTTGGGATGATTTTCCATCCCTTGACTGCTTCAGGCAGCTGGGGAGGGGATGTGTGTGATAGATTTAACATATAAGTCCAGCACCAGAAATACCAGCACTGGTGGAGGCAGCCTGTGTCCTCTGCAAAGGGTGGATTCAGGGTATTATTTTTTAGTTTCCTTGAGCTGAAGAAGGGACAGAGAAGGTTTTGCTGGAATGTTGAAGCCTCTCCCACTTCTCGCTTGCGTTACATTGTTTGAATGTTGTTGTTGGCCGGAGAAACCCCCAGCGAGGGATGCCACGAGTTGTGCAAAGAGCTCGGGACGGGCTCTCTCGTCCTGGGGCTGAGCTACAGCTGCTCACCCCAAAGCACCTCCAGCAATAACAACAACATTATGGCACCAGCTAACGGCAGGGAGAATGGCAGGTCATGGGCATCTTCAGAGCCTGGCAGCATTTCAGCTTTCAGTAAGACCCCAGCAAAACCACCTTACTCTCTCCCTGGGTTGTGGACTGCAATTTTTTGGGAAAAAAAAAAAAGGCAAAACAAAGAGAGAAAAAAAAAAACCATCTCTTTCATTATTGCTTTCTGCATGCCTGGAATTTTAAGCCCAGCCTCCGGCTTCGGATGTAGCTGACTCATAAGGTCTAGAGCTGGCTGTGGGTGCCTGGAGCGGTCTTATCACAGCAAGGAAAACCACAGACACGGGGTGGTCTTGCAACAGGATGAGGAGACCATGTCCAGCTGGGAGTCACATGTAGCCGAGGTCTCACCTGATGGTCCTCAGCCTCAGGTGTCCATGGCTGAAACAAGGTTGGAGCTGATGGTTCTCAGAGGACCAGGACTGGATATTCACGGGCACCCTTAATGGTGGAGGGCTTGGTTGTCTCACGGAAGATCCCACTTTGTGCTACTGGAGAGCATCTTGCCAGAGCTGAGACCTTCTGCCCAGCATCCCTCATCTCCCATCAGAGGGGAAGGTGCACAGAAAGATGCAGCAGTTCTTGCAGACGTGCTCCTTGTACTGGGAAGAGCTGGGCATGATGCTCTAAGAAGAACATCACCATCTGATGCCATCCTTGCCCTCCCGTGATCATGGTGAGGACCCAGCTTAGAGCAGGTCCTGCCTGGAGCAGACACCATCCCACGCAGAGCCGATGAGCCTGGAGTGTCCAGCCCATCTCCAGACCTGAATGTTCTTTGGAAAGGGATGCCCCTCCAAAAAACAACTCTCCCTGCACTGACAGGGATGGAGAAACTGTACTCCTCATCCATGCCCACCACTGCCAACATCCCTTCATCCCAGAGCCGGCGACCCGGAGCGGGGATGCTCCACCTGCCTTGCTCCACTTCTTCCCATTGTGCCCACAGCAAAAGGAAAATTCCCCAAAAGCCTCCCTGGAAAGCATTGCAAGGGAAACCATCTCCCCTCCGAAGATATTCCCCCCAACTTGGTGGGTTTGGTGAGGCATCGTTTCAAAGCCAGCTTGGGCAGGTGTCCTGTGACTCACAAAGGCTGGGTAGAAAAATGAATAAATGGCCAAAAATACCCTGAACCACCTCGGAGCTGCAGAAACTGGATATTTTCCACAACAGAGCCAGGGTAGTTTCAGTGCAGCCTGCTTTTAAAAACTTCTCTCGCATCCTGGCAGCAGTATTTTTGGCTCCTGAAGGATGCACGCTCCCTTTCTCCTTGTCCCTGAACCCTCCTCCCAACCCCATCCACTGCAGAAGCACCTAGCCCAAGGTTAGGACTCTGGTCTTGGCTTTTTTCCAAGGTCTGGGTTAAATCCCAGCCGCCTGCATGCACAGACCTGCAACTTCAGTGTTTGAATCCAAATCCTTGCCTGGCCCCGTGCCCAGGGGAACCCAGCCCTGAGCTGCTCCGGCAGCAGCTTGAGGCTGGGCAGAGCTCGTTAGGATATGGTTAATGAGCCAAGTGATCTCATGTGGGCTTCAGGGCCGTGTGGACAGATGGGGCATCTGACTTGCACCCCATCTCCTTGCTCCTATTTGTATTGAGAGAGTTCCACATTTGGAACTGTCAGACACATCCAAGGACACCGGTGTCCTCCGTTTCAAGAGCTGTAGCCCCCCAAAACTCACACTCTGAAGGCAAGAGCCCCAGTGTGATGGGGGCTGGAGCCCGTGTGCTTGTCCCATCTGCAAAGCTCCTCCAGGACCAGCCACGTCAAAACCATCAGCAGGAGCGCGAGGGTCACGTTCCTCATTAACCCCAGCAATACGGCGTTTGCCATCGCAGGCAGAGCTGACCTTGGGGCTCCGTGGCAGGGAATGTGTCTGTGCTGTGGATGTGGGTTAAATCAGATGCCAGGGATCCTGCCCCGAAAGGGCTGTCAAGCCGTGGTTCAGGCTGCCCAGGTGGAGTTTCCATCCCTGGAGGGATTTCAAAGCTGTGGAGATGGGGTTCTCAGGGCCATGGGTTAGTGGTGGCCCTGGCGGTGCTGGGTTAGTGATTGGACTCGATCTTAAAGGTCTTTTCCAACCTAAAGGATTCTAGAGCATGAGTATCTGAGCCGTGCCCACTCCTGCATGCATGTGTGAGCGCGTGTGTGCACACACGAGCTGTGTTCACGCACATATGCGTGTGCTCCAGGCTCCTCACAGCTCTTAACTCCCCTTCCCCACCCGACTCTCGATTTCACATAAAGAACAGAAACCAAGGAGGGTGTTACAAGCCCACGGCGCCCACCTTCTGCTCCCCTGGCTCAGCCCTGACCCACACCTCTGCCTTGCAGCAGGATTGATCCATCCTGCCAACCCAGCGAGTGGAAATCGAGAAGGAGAACATTTGGGAGGCTTTCATGCGTGCACGTGCACTCACACAGCAGCCCAAGGCTGGAGGTGTTGCTGCTTGGAAGCTTCCCGGTGTGGTTTTGGCTCTCTCGATTTGGCTTTTGGTACCAAGGCTGGGCAGAGAAGAGCTGTGGGGATCCCCTCTGGTTATTGGAAGTGATTTCGGTGAACTCTGGGCTTTGCAGCTACCCACAGGTGCGAAGGAGGGGAGCTTGCCCATGCTTCCCACCCCTTGGCCACCGCAGGACATGGGATTGGGGTTATTTCTCCTTGTGCTGGCCACGCAGGGCGGCTCTTCTCCTTGGTTTAGTTACAAGGGAGTTGGGGCTGATTTTTGCACCTGTCACAGGCACCCTGGGTCAAGAAACCCTTGGCGGAGCTGCTTTGGTCACTCACACCAGAAGGCAGCAGCATCCACCTTTCACCAGCCCTGTGGCAATTTTTTCCAAAGGTCTTTCCTCACTTGTTGTCCCCTCTCAGGGCGGCAGGGACGTCCACATGTCTCAGGAGAGCTCCGAGCTGTCACGCTGCTGGCCAGCCTGGGACAACCTAGCTACAGGATTAATTAATGGGACGAAATGAAATGAAATTAATTAAATGGAGGAAAGATGCTTTTGGTGCTTGGAAGGTGCTCAGCTCCTCTGTTAGGGCACCCACTGACCCTCCCTGGGCCATGGTGGGTCACACCAGATCCCC